TTCCCGAATTAGAAAAGTAAAACTACCAACAGCGGTACCCGAGGTCCTCATGTGCCAAACTCCCAAATCCGGAATGCGTTCCGCCGAAATCCGAAATCCGGGGGAGCATGATGCTCCGGCTTTCCATATATCCCCGATACCGTTTGAAACCCTCTATCTGGTGCCGTTCCGTTGAGGCCTTTACTATAACGGTGAAATTGGCCTGTTCTGTCGAGGAACACGTGTTAGTAACACCTGTTCCTCGTTGCTGGGAGTGTCAGCATGTTCTCCTCGTGTGAAGCCCCCCGCCCATCTGCTTTTTCTCCCTTTCCCTGTTGACCAAAGTTAAACGCCGTACCCGCAATACTGTTGAATCTCTACATCCATTATTTTGTTTCCTTCCCTCGTATGCTGATCATTGGCGGCTTATGCAAGATCACTGATATAATGATAGGTTGATGTACCATGCGTCTGATTGACGTAGAGGCTTTTCTCGACTTCGACGAAGGGAATGTCAGATCCGATGCGCGGCTTCTGGTGGAACTCAACGGCCCAAAGCTTGTAGGAACAGCATATGCCATATTGTCTCACTGTTGGGGTGAACCAGAAGATGAGGTGCAGTATATGGAGATGGAAAGTCTTACGAAGACGGGTATCACCACCAGAAGCAAGGTACAACGGCGCAGTGGGTACCGCAAGATCCGCGGGAGCTGCTTGCAAGCCCGCCATGACGATCTCCATTGGCTCTGGGTGGATACTTGCTGCATCGACAAACGGAGTAGTGCAGAACTCTCTGAGGCAATCAATTCCATGTATGTGTGGTATGCGAATTCCGACCGTTGCTATGCATTCCTTCATGACGTCGATACCGAAACTCTGCCCACCAAACCCGACAACAAGACTTTCGCCGAGTTTAATGGATGGCCAAAGTGGTTCTCGCGAGGGTGGACACTCCAGGAACTTATAGCCCCCGAAAACGTTCATTTCTTTAATCGGAGCTGGGAGTACATTACCAACAAGCAGGACTCTGCACGTAAACTAAACGACATCACGGGGATATCAATGGATGTACTGCAGAAGGGTCTTACTTTTTCATATCCCAGCGTAGCACAAATGATGTCGTGGGCCGCTGACCGAACGACGACGAGGGAAGAAGATAGGGCTTACTCATTATTGGGTCTGTTCGGTGTCCATATGCCGATGTTGTACGGAGAGGGGAAGCACGCGTTTCTTCGTCTGCAATTGGAAGTCATACGAATGATCAATGACCAAAGCATATTCGCCTGGGGCTGGAGAAAGGAGACCGGATCTGCCAGCGGATTCCTGGCAAACGATCCTCGCGACTTTCGCGATTGCTCAAACGTAGTTCGGATGGCCCCCGCCTATGTCCTGGAAATGTATTTTTCGAAGTGGAAACTACGAAGGTTGATTTCTACGGAAGAACGATTACAGACATTCTCTGTTACCAATCATGGCATTCAAATATGGCTACCCCTGAAACGTGAGCCCCGTGCCAGAGGCTCAGAGTTCTTCTCTGCGATACTGGCATGTTGCAACGGCCCAGCGGAGAAGTCGAACCCCATAACTATCACCATCGAACAGTTTGGTCCAGACCGTTCCAGGCATTTTGGCCGGCCTCCGGTGGTTAAGAATCGAGTAGTGTCAATCAAGTTCAAGCCAATCCTTCTTCCCTACCGAGACAACGTTAACCTTAATATCAGGGGTCCGTCATGCAAACAGGTACGTTCTGATGTGCTGGGACATATCACTATGTACTAACGTTGTGATAGAGCAGGTTGCGGATTTCGCTCGAAGATATCATACCCAGCGATAGCGTTATCATGTATGTATCATGGCCCAGCAACAAATTTTTCGTGTAAGCATCTTAATCCCCTGGTAATAGTGTCTTCGGCGCCTCAGGATCTGGAAAGAGCAACGTAGAGTGATAGTCAACTATCTGTATCGAAGCGTCACTCATGCGGGATGTAGTTCATCAACAAGCTTACTGGGATTCCACCAGAACCCGGCGCAGACTCGCTAGGGGTCTGCACGCAAGCTGTCAGCGCCTTTGCGAGTGTCCGGAAGGGAAACGTCATGTTTTCTTAGATACACCCCCATTGGATTCCGACTGTTTTGAAGCGATGTCAACCCAATTCGTATCGTTGTGAGCCAAATTGGTCACTTAATCTCACTTAAAGTTAATTCTACGCTGAATAGATACCACAGGTCTGTTAGATTTACAGGTGTTATCTATACCTTTGACGTGAATATCAGATGGGGGGGGAGAGAAGTACGGAACTTCCGGGCTGTCCTTAACATGTGCGGGGAGGAAGCCATTGATCGATTGCGACTGGTATTAACCATGTGGGATAAGACCTTGCAGTATCGCGGTTCAGCGCAGGGCAGGCTCGAAGACCTGGTTGGCAAGGCCTCCAAAGAAAGGGTTAGCTGCGAGAAGTTTGAAAACACTCCAGCGTCAGCGTGGGCGATTGTGGAGGGTCTTGGGGAGGAGAAGAAGGTGATTTCACTTCAGAAGAAAGTGGTTGATGGTGGGATCGACCTGAGGGAAACGTCCAGGTGCAAATGCATTACACACCTGTTCTCGGTGTAACATTGTGTTTACCACCGCTCACCAAGATATGAATCGTTTAGTAAGCGGTTGTGGAACAGATTTCGATTCCTGTACGTGTATGTGGCTGGCAATCTGTTTGCTTGCGCTGTCGTATACTATAACGCCAGAGTCTTGCAATGCCGTAGAAGGTGCAGGTGTGGGTAAGTATGCATGGCGTACGTGCGTATGTATGGATTCATTGTGACCTCTATACCCAAACATCGCAAGGTGAATGCCAGTCCTTCCGATAATTTACACCCAGGTCGACGTAGTTCCCGTTCAGCTCGTCGCTCGGTACACTGTCCACCCTCGTCGGTCACCATTCCTCATACCAAGTTGTCCCCCAACGCTATCTCAAGTCCCCGATCGTGTTCTCTTCGTGCCGTTTTGGGATCTTTGACCACAAGATCTGCTTGTTGGCTGTTGTTCGCCAAATGTCGTTGACATTGATCATATTTGGGATTCGTCATGTTAGGAAGCCCGTTAGAAAAGCAAAGAGGTCGTAGACGAGGATACCAAAAAAATAAATGACGTACAGCCGCATTCTAAGCAATAGCTTCCTATTTGTTTTCTCCATCTCTGAAGCCATCTTTATTGCGCGGGAAAACAGTTCTGCTCTATGGTCCGTTTTCTTGGCAACAAGGATCTGTGCACGCGAGCACAAGTCTCTTCAACCACCAACAGAGTGGGGCAAAACGGCGGCACATACCTTTCCCCGACTGTCGACCCTCCCAACGATTCTTCCACCCTGAATCAACCCAACGACCTCCCTCTCGACTTCCTCAACGCTCCATCCCAACGCATCCGCCATCCGCTCGAGTCTGACCGTCTCGAACGGTGCAAAATAAAGCACGAGTGAGACGTGCCGGATAAGCCTGGTGAGTTCGGGAGTATGTAGGGAGAGGTGGATGTCGGTGTTGTGTCGGATCTAAAATTGGGTGTGATAAGTCAAGCGGGAAAGTAACAAGGGAAGGTAGAGCATACCGAATTTCGAGAGAGAATATCCAACACCTTCTTAAAATCGCTCGCCATGTAAGCCTGAACCAATTCTCGTACGTACGGTTCTTGTTCGATGTACGTTGCGAATGTAGGGTTGTCCACGAGCTGGGCTTTGACGGATGAACGAGAGAGAGAGGCGAGTGCACAGAGGGCGCCGTAGATGGCGATGTCACTCGGTGCAACGAGCTGTCATTACCGGTGCAGTGTCAGGTCAGTTGACCTTCACAGGGGGACCACAGGGACGCACCTTTCCGATCCAATCTCCTAGCTGCTCCGGAGGGCCAAGTCTGAGGAAGGCAACTGCAGCTTTATCATACGCTCCCATCCCGAGGTGGGAGAGTGCCAATACAAACTCGAGTTTGGTCTGTATGTGATCGCGATCGGTGGATTTTCTACTTTGAGAGGCTTGACTTGATCCGCTGCCTGCCGACCCTATCATTGATGATGCGCCGAGACCGGCTCCACTAGTCGTGCTGCTGGCTCCAGTTCCCATTGCCATCGCGGAACCTTGAGGTACCTGAGATGTGCTGGTGGAAGGAGAAGTCGCATTGGCGACTGCGCTGCCTATTGTGAGAGATTCGAGTGCGCCTTCGGCTTTGTATACGTATGAAGGAATGTGTGCGTAGTTGTGCTGTTCGATGGTGAGCTGGGGGGGAATGGGGTAAGAGTAATTGGGATAAGGGGTGAGCAGGACGGTTACCTCAAGTACGGACATACACATATCGAGGACGTGTTGACTCGTCGAACAGAACTCGCGAGATTTCGTGTAGTGTTTTAGTGCTAGTCCAAACTCGCCTGTCGATCGAAAGAAGTCTCCGAGATCTCTGTGGCCCATCTATGCCGCCGTCGTCGTCGAATCTGTGTTAACGCAGTTGTGCAGACACTCACCCGAATGCTCTCCTTGATCATATTATTCGTATACGTCTTAAGCTCGACCTCGAGCTTCGTTCTCTCGGCCACATTCCGCTTCGTCACGTCCTCTACCCAGTCCATATCCACGGTGACCACGTCCGCCACTGGAGGCAACCCCTTACCCCCCTGAGTGCCTAGTACACTTTCATACGCGCCGATGACCGAACTGACGAGTGAAGGGTCACGCAGGCGATACAGATGTTGGAATGCGAGCGAGAGCGCGTGTGGTGCGATGGATGGACATTGGATGATGGTGGCGATGAGTCTGTCGATGACGGTGCGGCCGGTGTAAGGTGCGATGTACGCGTCGAGGTCGAATGGGTGGTCATCGTCGATCGTGAAGACTCGTCGTCTGGGCTGTTGTTGCTGCTGCTCGACGTCGACTTCCATCGTGGCCATCGTCGTCGTCGTCGTCGATGATGCTAATGACAAAACGCTAATCGCTTGCGTTCCTAGTACTAACGTACTTCCAAATTCCCCCCTGCGATCATTTTATTATGGGCACTTGGCACAGTTGGTAGCGCGCACGCTTCGCATCAGCTTGATTGCGTGAGGTCGTGGGTTCAATTCCCACAGTGTCCACGGTCTTTTTGTCCAGTTCATCCTGTAGTTTTTTTTTTGGATGTTGTACAACTAGTAAAATAAACCAAGGACTACTGGAACCGCTTGTAAGCATGCTTCTCGTACAGTTTAGGCTTTGCTTTTCGTTTTGAAGGCCTGCAGAAGAGGTATATGATTTTGGCTGTCGTTCTCGATGAGAAAGAGGTACGTACAACACGGGAACGCGAGGTTCGACCAACGCTCGCTGTTGAAGACTCACGAATCGATCGCGGAATAAATTTCCCTCCGGCTATCACATTGTTCTTCCATCAGAAATCTCGGGGCGCTATGGTCAGACGCACCTTGAGCGACCTCAAATTTTCACTCAACTCTTCTCCGGTCTGGACCTCGACTCGACTCTCAGGAACGACGTGCTTGCCAAGCTTGCGTCCTGCCAACCCTTTGCGAAGTCGAAGACGTGTAGTGAGTTGTCTTGCCAATCGAGCTTCGGCCCGCGCTTCGGCGGTTTTGTCGATTTGGGATCGGAGGGATTTGGCGGAGTTAATACCGTGTAGAAGACGTTTGCGGAGGGCTTTTGCGGCGAGGGCTTCTTTCTGTTCATGGAAGGTGTAATGAGGGAAAGGGGTTCATCGATGCCATGCTTACCTCGGCTCTCAGTTTCATCGCCCTTGCACGCTGCTGCTTCGTCTTCTTCACCGTCTTCCGTCTCTGCACGACCCCATCACCCTTTACCTCTCCTTCATCCTCGTCATCTACCACCCCATCATCCACCGACATACCAATTGGGACATCCTCCGCGTTGCTCGCGTTTTCCTTCGCCCGCTCAATTTTTTCGCGGAAGCTCACTAAATTATCCAACTCTTCCTGTTTACGTTTTTCGACGGTGTATGCTTCTAAGACGAGGTCATGGTGCGCTTGCACGGGTGGGTTGTAGGATGCGCCTTCGGGAGGGAGAGATACAGCTGGAGCGTCGATGACATCGCGAAGGTGATCGGTATCCGGTTTCTGTGTGGTATATGTATATTTTCATACTACACGCTCGAAAGGGGAACGGACCTTGACCACGACTGGTTTTACACTCTCCAATCCGTCGGGAACGCTTTCTTCCACCGTAGGTGCCCACAAGTCCCGTGTGCCGCTCTCTCGAGCGGCGTGGCTCACTTCGATGGGTGCACTTCCGGCACCGAATTCAGTCGGGTCCATCACGGCATTGAAAGGGCCCTTGCGAGTTCGATGTGCGAGACGAAGAAGACGAGATTTTTCTGCGTGGGTGAGTTTTGGTTTTGTTGTTATGCGGGTGCGGGAGGTGACTGCTGGGACGGCTGAGCGGGCAGAAATGATTTTGGTGGATGTGAGTTGGGCTCTGGAGTACCTAGGTAGAGATTTTCGGACTGTAGAAGTGAGCGAGCGAACACAGGTTATCTGCGTGGACGTACTCTGCTCGTCTCCGCGGGTATCGACAACGAAAAGCTGACCGTCGGGCTGACTTTGCAATGTCGACCTGTACATCGTCCACATACATGCAAAAACCCCCAAGAAAGAATGTACTCACCCGATCACACGTTCCTCTGCCCGTAAACTTTCCATGGTGTCCTCGACGCCCTGCATATCGATGTTTTTGCGCCATGCCCGTTTTCCCTTCCGACTTGCCTGTGCCAGTTGCGAGGGTGCACCGAGTGCAGACCGCGTTGGCTTGTTCGCCATCGTCGTATATGTCGATAAATAGTTTGTCACGCTGCTGATATGTCACGATGTGGTATCACGTGATGAAGGGGAGAGAGTCACACCGCGTCATGTCACACGCTCTTCAACTGACGATGGACCCGAGTGAAATTGGCCGGTTTGGCACGCTGCGACTGGTCAAACGCGGCGACTCGGCCACGCCAGTCGCGGCATTCCCCGTCGACGACGACGCAGTCACGTTCGGACGCGACCCAGCTTGCAGCGTCAGACTGTACTACTCGTCCGTGAGTCCAGTACACGCCAAGTTGATATTTCAAGACAGAAAGGTGCGTTGCATGAAGTGGCGTACACTAGCTGCTCATATCAGCTGCAAGGCATTTGTCGTCGTACTAGGTCAATCGGGTATACACGTCGACGGATGTCTAGTTCTCCCATCCCAGAATCCCTCGCTTCCAACTACCATACCCGTACCCAACAACACCACCCTCGAAATACGCGGTAAGCGATTCGTGTTCACGTATCCTCCCAAGGAAATGCGCGCTGCGCTCTACTCCTCACCTTCTCCCACGAAAAACGCGTCAACCGACGCGACACCAAGGACGAGAAAGAAGGCGTTGAGAATGTCGATGATCAGAAGTGCAAAAGTATTTACGCCCAGAGCAAAAAATGCCGACCCAGAGGAGAATCTGAGGATTTTGCAAACGCCATTGAAAAGACGAGGGTCGTCCCCACTCAAACAACAATACCAGACTCTGCGGCGAGTACGTGGGGATTCCGATTCCTCGTCCGATTCTGACGAGGGCGATGAGAATGATGGTCCAGCAGCGGAAGAAATTGTCCTTGTAGACGGTGATCATCCCCACGTTCTTGAAGAAGACAGAGACCTCGTCATACTCGAATCCGTCGAAGTCGATGATCCGGAACCACCACCTCCATGCTCACCACGTCCACAACACCGACAACCCGCTGCACCCCCCACCACACCTCTCCGTCTCGGCGCATTCGGCCGTCCAGTCCACGTTCAATCGTCTGACCCGAACATGTACCAAACTCCTCATCGCAAACCTGCCCGTCCTATCACTCCACCGCGCTGTTCTTATTCGCTCTGCACAACGTACAGTGTTGCGACAAGAAATCGAACGGGAGGAAGAAGAGATGGAGGAGAAAGAGGTAGAAGAAGTTATCGTAGATGACCTTGAGGATGTTCAAGAGATCGAGGAACACGAGGAAGAAGACAGCGGCGAGGAGGTAGAGGAAACGGATCAACCAAGTGGATGGCGGAAGGGTCTTGGCTTGGTGACAGGCTTTGGATGGCCAGTTCCGCTCGTCTTCTGCTGCACCTGAGGACGACGAGAATCACGACAATGATTATCTGGAGGATGAACAGGTGAGTTGTTCATCCTTTTTTGTAACCCTATATACTAAATGGTCGGAGGAGGAAATGGTCGTCGATCAGAAGATGCCCCCTCCGTCGACTGACGGCCTTCAAAAATCTAATGTAGTTACTAACGCTGCATCTGACGACCCTCCCGCCGCACACCGCCCCCTGGGAACGTTTATGACACCGCAAATCCCGCGTGTCGGTCTAACCACAGGTGTAGGCCGAGGCGCAGGACGAAATTCGTTCGGAGGAGTATTACCCGCACCACAACCATCTTCCTCGGCTGGACTTGGCGGACCGAAGAGAGTCCGTGTCGAGCCCAAGTGGAAAGTCACCGATATCGTCGTACCGATGCCGAATACGAAAGAGGAAGAGGAGGAGTGCGTCCCTCACGTAATACTGCAGACGGTGAAGCAGGAGGAGCAAGTGGGGATGGGGGGTCCGAGCCCTGATCGTCTCCAGCGGAAGAAGATCAGCGAGGAGGAAAAACAAGTGAGTCACTGTTCTATCTCATTTTTTTCCACCTCAATTCAACATGTTCCAGGCCATAAGAGAAAGACGTCGTTCAGCGTTGAGGACTCCAGATCCTTACTTCGGAGGACAGCGTTCCGGGTATGGGACCACGACAATCAACCACCCATGCTCAGGTACCGTTACCGGGTTATTTTGCTGCCAGTACCTGTTACGGATGCAACGAAAAAGGACGTGGTAGGGAAATCGAGGAGTCGAAGTTTGTCACCTGTGAAGCTGGCAATGCGGTTGGCTTCTCCAATCAAAAGCGAGGAGAAGGAGGAGGGGAGGACGCAGCTGAAAGCGACGAAGAGGAAGATACACGGTCCTTGTTGGATAGGATGAAGCAGACGGTGGAGGGGTTGAAGAGGAGACGCAGTGAGAGTGCGTTGATACGGACTGGTGAGTCTGCGGATGAGACGAAAGTGAATCTGGGAGACGACCAGGAGGATGACGAAGAGCAGGAAGATGGCGAAATTGCCGATGACGAGAGTGATAAGGAGAACGGTGGCATGCCAAGTGATGATAGTCCGATGGAGGTCGAGGCTCATACGACCCCCGCCGTCGACGTTGCATATAGTGCGGAGGCAGAATTACCAGCGGTAAATCATGAAGAAGATGACAACGACGCGCCAACCGATCTTCCCCTCCCAGCCCTGACCCGGCCATTTTCAGCTACTACTCCCCAGACCCCGAATCTGAGTCCACTCAAACATCTCTTCTCCAAACCCAAGCACAACGTCGGAGCTGCCACGCCTGCCGTGCGGAGCATGCGCCACCTATTCAAAGGCGACCCTGTCTCTCGTGAAGGCATGCAAACGCCGAGTATGGATGGGGTGAGAACGATGTTTGTGAGGGAGGAAAGGAGGGGGAGAGCGGGTGATGGGACACCGGCGTTGGAAGGTGTAAAAGAGGTGATGGGCACGCCGGCGCCTGCCGGCGAAGGTGGTAGACGTGAGGACAGTAACGACGAGAAAGGGACTGAATATGCACCTTCTGCTGTGCTGCCGACTACTGCGACGCGGCGCCGGACGCCCAGGCCAAATGTGAATTCCGGAACGGCATCAACACCAAGGGCTGCTTTGAAACACGAGGAAGGGGCACCAACTGATGATGCCTCTGGTCAAGCCGTTCCTCACGCTACGTCCGAAGCGTTGCCGGACGCCGCACAGAGCAAGGCGAAGCCAGTGAGAGGGAGGAAACAGACACCTGTGAATGATGAGGTGCGTTCTGTGCTGTTGCTGCCGTGGGGGCTCGTGTTTATTTTATTTCTTCACGATTAGCCGAATCCATCGCGAGCAGCTGCATCCTCGGAACCCAAAGCCGTGGGAGGTAGGAAAGCAAAGACTGAAAGTCACCCGGAAGCCGTAAGTCCACGTACCATTATATTTCTCTTGCGTTGTGCATCGCGTCGTCGCGTCGACATCTGACACTGATTGTCCCTTTC